GCTTTGAGCAATGGGAGCTCAGGCCACTCTTGACCCAGTGCTGGAGGTCAGGTGGCTTTATGGTGTGTCATCATGGCTAGGCTTCACAAACAAAGATTTGGGAAGGGCTGTATCCACATTTGTTACAAGCACGTTGGTGGCTAATGAGGCCAATACGAGATAGACATGTCCAATTGCAAAAGGCACAGCAGAAAGACTCCTTAGGTGGTATATTCTGCAGGGCACAATTCTTTCTGTGTTATCTTTTCTCCTCAAGAGTGATCCTGCCTGCGTTCTCAAAGGAAGCAGCAGTGTTATAGATGGTGTGTCTCCAGGCCTCCTGATTTGAGGACAGAGTAGACCAGTTATGATAATCAATATGGCCAAGGCTGAGACGTTGCTTCAGGGAGTCCTTGTATCTTTTCTTGGGGGCTCCTCTCTTGCAGTAACCAGTGGCAAGTTCACCGTAAAGCAAGATCTTAGGGAGGCAGTAGTCCTTCATCCTTGAGACGTGTCCTGCCCAATGCAGTTGTGTTCTTAGCAACATGGCCTCTATACTTGTGACTGCTGCTTGTTCTAGAACAGATGTATTGGTCACATAATCTGACCAGTGGATGTTTAGGATTGTATGGAGGGAGCGTTGATGGAAGCGTTCTAGGAGAGACAGGTGATGGTGGTAGATGACCCATGATTCGGAACCGTATAAAAGAGTAGACAACACTATGGCTTTGTAAACACTGATCTTGGTACTTTTCTTTAAGTGTTTATTACACCATACTCTTCTATGGAGTTTTCCAAAAGCACTATATGCCTTTGCTAACCTGTTGTTTATCTCTCTGTCAATCTTACCATCCAAGTAGATTGAGGCTACCTAGGTAATTAAACTGCTGAACTGATTTGAGCTCTGATTGGCCAATGGTGATATGGGGATGACGGAAGACTTCCTGAGGTGCAGGTTGATAGAGAACCTATGGTGTGTATACATATGGTATAAATATCTCAGGATAAGCATCGGACAAGTTGATGAATAAGAGAACTGACTGCAAACTGGGCAGATTTGTGCAATGTGTTTAGTGTTTTGACAAGAACATTAAATAAGAGCCTGAAGGTCTGATTTAAATTGTATTCATAGAGGTAGAAAAATGCCAAGATATAACAATAAGGAAGTAAAAGATATACTTCATACAGTCTCCTTTTTGAAATAAAATTTGTAATAAGTCTTACTTTGTATAACAATTTCACTTATTTAAATGCTGCCTTTGCTTTTCTGAACAACTGACCTTTATAACTCTACTATTTTGCACTTCATGATTTTCAGTCAAAATCACTTACAATAGACCACTTAAAAAAATGGAAGCAAACACAAGTGAAAAGATTAATAGCTAATCTGTGGCAGGCTGTACTGGACCAAAGGAAGAAATTCATTAGCTATTCAGTATGCATTTTAAAAATCATACTTTCTTATCTACTGCAGTATGTTAAGTGCACAATACAAATATTTGAATAATCATGACATAATTGTAATCCTACTGAAACCCCAAGGACGGCAAGTGGTTTCAATGAGCACAGAAAATCCTTCTATTTTATTCACTTGCAGAGTAACTGGTGCAACATACTTCATTCCAAACATATCCACTGAGATAAATAAGTTAAAAGAATAAATACTGTAAATAGATGGATGTATTTCACTAATGTAGGAGGCATTTTAAAGGCAACTATTCAGTAGCAAGCATTAATGTCAATGCAGATTTAATGAAGTCAGAATACATTACATTGCTGAGGACTGCATTTGTAGATGCAAACCAGCATAGTTCCACTGCCTTAGCTGGAGCTTTAACAGTCAATAACTTCTAGCCCTGAAAAATCTTTTCAAACATTTTCAGTGTCATCTCCTTTCTTCCTCTTCTGTTTCTTTGTAACCTATTTTCTTCTGATTTTTTTCCCCTAATGATTCTCTTCTTCATCTCCGCTTCAGTCTTCTCAGCTTTCTCCAGGAACTCTTTTTTCTTTATTTCATAGAAACATATAATAATCCAGACTGGAAGGAATCTCTGGAGGTCACCTATGTCAACCTCCTGCTCAAAGAAGGACTAATTTCAAAGTTAGTTCAGATTGCTCAGGGCTTCCTGACCAATTGAGTTTTGAGTATCTACAAGGACGGAGGCTGCATAACCTCTCTGTGCCCTTTTTCCAGTCCTCAACCCGTTTTTTTTTAATTTTTATTTTTAATATTACATTATGGGTTTTTTACAGTTCTGCTCCTTTAAACAGCTTCCATTATTCTTCATCTTTGTTTCATCCTTGTGCCTATCTCCACCTTTTTACCTCTTAAAGTTGTAGCAAACATATTTTCATGGTTTCTGAATTTTCTGAATTTTCTGATATACTTATACTTCTTTGTATTAGAAATATACCCCTTGTTTTGATATGCAGCATTATATTTGCTCCTCAGAAGATTCAAACTGATGCTATATAGGTAGAGGTCACGTTGAATGACCACAGCCTATTGCCCAAAGCCATTCAGGTAACATAAATACTAGAACTTACTGCCTCAAAAAACCCATTTATTGTTCTTTGCTCCTGCACAGCTAACCCATCTTGTATTTGAAAATCAGATGTGTGCCTAATACTTGTAGAGTTTCAGTGGTTTCTGAAAGCACAAGTATAAAAAGGTGCTAAGTATAAAAAGGTGTTCAGTTGTCTGGCCTGACATTACCTGAATCACGAGATTCATGTTTGGAAGTTTACTTTTTGTTTCAGTTGAAAGTTAGGGAAAAAAGTGGCTTAGCTGGCACTGGATTTTGTCCATGGCACTGACAGGAGCTACTGGAACAACTGGCAATCTAAATAAATTTTGTCAGTTTTAATTTTCTCTAAACAGTCAATCTTTAAGCAGAACCAGACCTTCAGTGTTTACTATAGAAGAGTTAGTGTTCCATTCTCATGAAAACTACAGGGAAAGTTAAGCACATTAAAATGAGATTTAAGAAAAGTAATTTTATTTTTTTTTAAATTGTCACATTTGAAATAAGTGTTGCCTTTTCTAAAATAATGAAAATATATTGTTAAAAATACATTGTTAAAAAATTGAGTCATGTTCTTATACTTGCTTTGAAGTGATCTACAACAAAGCTTTGTTCTTGAAGTGAGAACATCGAACTTTTGACTTTCCTAATGCTTAGCGCCTCTGGTTTTTTTTAGAACAAGTAATTTTGCAAACCACAAACAAGTGAAACATCACATCTCAGTGAGTGGGTATTTGCTTACGTTTAATGAAGTAGTACTCATTTACTTCATCACTGACAACCGTTCAAATTGACTAGGAGGGAGATAACTTGCTGCACTCTGATTACTGCTTCAACAAGTAAAATTCAAGTAAGGGGAAAATTCTCATTTGCTGGAGAAATCTGAGACATGCAACAATTGCTCCTCTCAATTTAATGCCTTCCTATTGTTCATATATTTTATGTCAGTAAAATCAAAGCATTCATCCTTGAACTTTGCTCTACTTTTGCTCTACTCTGCCCATATATTAGTTTTCTGCAACATCTCCAGGTACCAAAATGCGTCTTATATCTTTGTGCTTCTGTGGTGGGAAGGATGAAGCTCTTTCCTCCTACCTCCTATTCTTTTTCACACCCAATTCTCAGAACTGGAGTTTCGTTTACATATCATGGTCAGTCCTCTCCAGTGTGTGCAGTTTAAAATAAATAGTTTGGAATGCTAGCTTCCTGTTGGATTACTTTGATATTCATGGTATTTGGAGACATAGGCTTTCTGTTTGCTCTCACTTTGCAGAAGTCTTCAGATTTCAAATATTTGTTTCTTTCATATGACAGTGCTTATCAGTGACTCCGCACAGAGAAGACAGTTTGATATGCATCTGAGAGCTTCCATTTTCTGCGTAGTCAAGAAGACAATTTGGTATTCCCAACAAGACTCAATATTCTCAAGATTATGCTGGATACCAATATACATTGGAACAATCCAGATATCCCTTCTACAGTCCTGGACTCTGACAGGGGATGTATGACTTCAGTAGTGGAGGCTCTTTCAGTACTACACAGCTTCACTCAGTGATCAGCCCAGTCTCTCACTTCAGGAGAAAAGTATGGCCTCCTAACAACCTGGTTTCAGTAAGGCAGATAATCCACAAGCTCCATGCAAAGGATGCCGGGCTACCTGAATGCTGGAACAAGCAGCTTTATGAAGACTTTGCCCAGAGAGAACAACCGAAATGGGGGACTCGGAGTTAAAACAAGTCCCATCTGTCGACACCATGGTGTCAGGCTCTGCCTTGAGGTGCCCTTCCTTCGTAGCTGCGTGGGGAAACATCTTCACCCCAGAGCTGAGGGGCAAAGGACGGTGATGGACGGTGGGTGCGCGTGGGTGACACTGATCCTGTGGGACACTGACACCCCTGGATTTCACCGCGCGGCCTCTGCCGCTCCTGGAGGGAGTTCGGCGTTGCCAGGCTTCTCAAAAGCCCACACTTTTGCTGAAGCGACAGCTCTCCGAGGTGGCAGCGCCAGCTGCCCCGCCGGGCGGAGCCGGCTGGATTGGGCCGAGCCCCCCGGGCCGCCCTGCCCACCCTGGGGCGGGCGGGGAGGGGGCGCTACCCCGCCATTGGGCGGCTCGTGCCCGGGGGCCGGGCCGGGCCCGGCCCGCGGTGGAGTGCGGGGATGGCCCCGCCTGAGGGTAGCGGGCACCTCCGCGCCGCCCCGCCGGCCGCGGGGGCAGCGGCACGGGAGGCGGAGGCAGGGACGGGAAGAGAAGGGCCGCCCTCGCCCACCTCGGCGGCGGAGAGGGAGTTGGGGGAGCGGAGGCGAGGGGCGGGAGGAGAGAGAGCGGGAGCGCGGGCGCGGTGCGGTTTTCCGCGGGTGTGTGCGGGGACCGCGGGGGCGGCGGGACACGAGGCAGGGCGCGGGCGCATGGAGGAGCGGCGCGGTGCGGGGCCGGCCCGGGCGGGCGGCAGGCACTGAGGCAGCGGCGGCCCGGGGGCTCTGCGGGCACGGCAGCCGCGGAGCGAGCCATGCGGGGTGCGAGGCGGCTGGCGGGTCTGCTGTGCCCCCTCTCCCTGCTCCTCACCGCGTCATGGGGAGTCCGCTTCCACCCGGGACAAGGTAAGCGAGCGGCAACAAAGGCGGCGACAGCCCCGAGGGTCTTGGCCTTGCGGCGTGCGCCGTGCCCCGCGGGGCAGCCGCCAGTCCCCGGTCCCCGGCGGGCGGGAGGAGGCAGAGCTGCCTCCCGGTGGCAGCGGGGCGGCCCTGGGGCGGTGGGGCCGGGCGGCCGCCGCGGGATCTCGCCGGGCGTGCTGGCGGCAGCCCCCCGCCCCCCGCCTGTCACCGGAGCCCGGGCTGGCGCCACGAGTGCCCTGCCAGGAGCCGTGCGGATGCCAGCGAGGGGTTGCTGTGCTGCGGCGGCAGGCTGAGCCTCCTGCGCTCTGTTGCAGAGACCTTAGTGAAGCAGCTCTCCTCCTATGAGATCATCACACCTGTCCGAGTGAATGAGTTTGGAGAGGTTTTCCCGCACACGCATCACTTCAGAAGGAGGAAAAGGAGCTTGGAGGCACCGCTGGAGCCTGCTGCTTTCCGAACCCATTACCAGCTCAGTGCATACGGGCAGGTCTTCCAGCTCAACCTGAGTGCTGATGCGGGCTTCGTTTCTGCTGAGTACACGGTGGTGCACGTCGGCGCCCCGCAGAAGCAGTCCTCCCCTGATTTGCGCCACTGTTTCTACCGCGGTCATGTCAATGCCCAGGAGACGCACATGGCTGTCTTCAGCATCTGCGGTGGCTTGGTAAGCATGTTGGTCACTGCTTCCTGTCTCCATTCATACTCTTTTCCCTGAAAGAAATGTAGTGGGATGCCTTTGCCGGAGAGCTAAGCTGGAAATTCTTGGGCATCGTTCCAAATAGTTGGTCATGAAATGTCTTGGCATCAGCAGTGTGCAGTCACGATGATACTTTTTTGGTGGGATATACAAATGCTGCTTTCAAAGGATCTGTTGCTGGCCAGTAATATAGTTGGTTGATGTAACTCCTAACTCCAAGAGCATTATAACAGAGGAAAAAGCAAAACTTAGTAACACAGTAAGCTATTGATTTGATAAAATGATGCTGTCAGTCGGCATCAGTTATGTGTTCGTAGCTTAACAGATACTGTGATTGTGAGTGAGGAATAATGGTGCTTGAGATGATGGGAGGGGAGCTAGCGTTGATCTTTTTTCTTCCTCTGCTTTCAGCAACACTGTAGAGGTATGTGATATTCTAGAAAGTGGGAGCAGTGCTTTCTAAGTATGTTTCTGATAAAAGGGAGTGGGAAGCTTCCTGCTAACTTCAGTGGGAGTATGTCTATGAAATGCTTCTTAAGAACTGAATTGAGCAAACAAAACTGCAATGATATACATTCTTTACTTATCCCTTCATAAAATTTATTATCTCTTCCAAACTGATAATGGAGAAATAGTATCACATAACTGTCTATCAAAACAGTTGTATTGTGTTGCTGAATTTTATAATTTTTTGCCTGGAAGTCATGAAGACTCACATCTAGTGCTCTACCACATTGCTATTTATTGAAATGCTGAGGGCAAGTCTGTGTGACGCGCACACTGTAAAAATAGGATGTTGTAAATACTACTGAGAATTTAAGTTGAAGTTGTTCCATTTTTTTACAGTCACTCAGGAAAGTAAAGGTGTATTTTTGGAACCTGAAAACATCCAACTTTGTATTCTAGTCACTTTCTACTAGCCTACAGAAAATAGAATGGAGTTCGTTGGATGTGTGCAGGAGCTTTAATATGTATTAAAAGAAGATGATACACATGATGAAAGAGAGAATCAGACATAACTTGTACTTGAGAGACACCTCTATCTTGTGCTTATTTTTGGATATTTGGGTATATACAACCTTGTCTTTGGGTTGAGGTGTGTAGACGTTGTCTAGTCCTTGGAAATTACTGGAGAAGTGAGCATTTGAGAACAATAATTTTCATCTGAGTTTTGCCTATATATTGTGCTTTACAAACAACTGTCATTAATTATTGACTGCGTTATCCAAAACCCAGTTCAAACCTATACTGAACACACACTTGTACTAACAGAGAGAGTAGGAAAGATGAGGGATCACAAATATGGTTGGTTTTATTTTTTCCATGTTTCATGTTTTAATAGTTGCTCAAATACCATTGGATTGAGAATAGTATCATACTTTATATGGAATAAATATGAGAAGTTTCAAACCTTTCTTTTTTCTTAACCTTTTTTACCTGTTTGAATTCTATTCCTGTAAACCATTGCTCTTCATTTCTTGAAGGGACCATGTGCACTGAAAACAATTTTTCTGAAAAACATGTACCTACTGCATCTAAAAGTTGTCTCAACTGCCTATTATTTAGCAATTCTCAAACTCTTCAGCACAAGATCCTCTTCTTCTCTGTACCAATTTGAACGTCTCACTTCTCGTTTTTCTCTCTCTTCCCTCCGTGGTCCCTCACTGGTACATTACAGCCTGCGTCATGTATGTGACCACTCAGAAATCCCTGAATGCTTTTAAACTGAGCCTTTGCCTCTTCTAGATGAGCCTTGTGAACTTTCACTGCAGCTTCCAGTTGGACTTTGTGTCCTCAATCATTGTGTGACGACAAAGTGCCCAGCCTAAGCCACCAGCAAAGGCCTTTCTGTCCTGATGCTCCCAGGACCTTCTCTTACCTCTCGTTTCACCTTTTGCCCAGGCAAGCACAGCCTTTGAGGGCATGCAGCATACCCAGCATTATGGCTCCTTTCTCCTCACTAATGAAGCTGGTGAGGTGTTCAGAAGAAGCTAAGCCCCGCATGGGTGCTGGTGCACTTTTGTGGGACATGCCTACAGTTTCCCAGGGAGGGGTTGTGTGGGGACAAAGAGGTGGTCATAGCCAGCTAGTTGCCTATAACTACACAGAGTGTCCTCCAACCTGACTCAGAACCTTCAAGCCTATGTTCTTCCTCATCCTCATGGATTCAAAGCAAATGTGACACTCATTGTGTGATTGCCAAGGGAGAAAACTTTTCTGGAGTTCAGAGAAGAATGGATGTGAAAAGAGGGAAATAGAGGCAGAGTGGAATTGTCCTGTGAGATCTTGTCATTGTCCCTGAATGCATTCCCCACTCCTAGATGGGACTACCCTCAAAAATTAGCAAAAGGGTGTTTTTATTCTCAAGGTTTTTAAAATTTCATAGGTGCATTCAACAAATGTACCTGCAAAAATACACCAATCAGTTACTGCTCTTTTACTGAACAGTGCCATGCTTCATGAATATATCCAAACATTAAAGTCGGATTGCTGCTGAGGTAAGATACTATTTATTGTGAGAGAGACAGTAGAAAACCAGTGACTTGATAGTCTAGCATTATATTTATTTTAAGTAAATCCCTTCTTTTTGTCGATCTGTTTTCCTTGATGCTGAACTTGAGCTTAGTGTAATGGAAGTTAAAAAAATATTGCTTTGAACTATTAGGTATAATTTTGTCTTCTGGCTTTGCATATATAAGGCAATTGCTTAAATGCCTTAAATGCTTACCAATGCTGTAAAAGCTAGGGAGGAAAAAATGACCTGAACATAAATATAAAGATATACAAGAAATGTAACAGTGGAATTTTAAAAATTGCTCTGGAGATGCACCTTAATCATCTGAAGTGAAACCAGGTACTTGTGTTCATTTTATCCTGTAGGCATCTATCCCCAAGTTCTGCACTACTTCATTCACAGCTTCACTCCTGCTTCTCAAGTTCCATCTTTTCTGTTTTTGCATTCTTATGTTGAGTGTGTTCTCCCCCTACACTCTGCTTTGCCTTTTCACCCTCAGTTAAGCCTTTTTCTGGTGCACTACAAGCATGGACAAACCAGAGTACCCATGGAGCATTGCTTAATGGCTCTTGACACCCTGTGTGCAGTTTTGTTGTGTTACATTTCAGAGCATGCCCTGGGTTCAGGGGTGCAAATGGCACAGGGACGTTAGACGGTCAGCAGGGAGTCTATAGTAATTGCAAGGAGGGAGTGTGTAATTAAGGAACTTTGGGATCCATCAAAGGCAGAAGGTCATTTGGAGTGATGGCCTGGGTGCCTAGTTGAACATCTGATCATATACAGACATATTTCTTGCATCTGTAGAGTAATTTTTGAGATTTCATGCTTTATTTCACTTTATTTTCTTAAGTTCTGTATATTTTTTACTTTTACTGCGTTAGTCAGTTATAGCTTTGTACGAACACAGGAAACAAGATCTGTTGAGGATGTCCCTGGATGCACGTAGAGAGCTAAAAGGAGCTCTCAAATGTTAGCCAGACAGCAAAATCAAAGAGATAAAAACCCAAAAGCTTAAAAATCATTTAACTTTTGAGAACATTATGACTTGCAAGTTTGTTGACAAATACAAGCAAATACCAGTGAATAAAATGTCTTAAAATAAAGGAACTGTCACCATTTATTGCTAGAGTGCACCTTCAATTCCTAGCAGGACCGCATCTACAGAAAGGAGCTTTTTTTTTTTTTTTTTAAATCCTGAATGAATGCTACAAAAACAGTTTGTTTAGTCCTTTGAGAAACTTGTTATTCTTTCTTGGGGGTTAGGAATATGTTGACTGATGCTGAGGATAGTTAAAATCAGTTATTGTGAGCTGGGAGGATGTGCCAAAGATGACTACTGTGAGAGAGGGAAAGGTAAGAAAGTAGGAAAAATGCATTGTTTTGGGTGTATCATCTGTGGTATGTAGAGCAACTTCACATGTGCACTGACTGGTGGAAGTTAAGAATAGAAAAGTACACATGAATCTCTTTTTGCATGGATTGCTAGCTGTCAGCTTTCTGCAGTCAGGGAGGGCAGGACTGCTTTGTTCTAATGTAGCTTTGAAGTGTAACAAGGTCTGTGTGACAAGTTCCTTAGCAGCTCAAGGAAGCCCCTTGGTAACACTCCTTTACTGCACGTCAGACTTACTTTTGTCTGGAGAATGGCAGGAGTATGAACCTACGTGAGGATCTTCAGAATCCTCAGTAAGAGGTTGTGTTTATTTTTTTGTTAATATGGGTCAGTGAATCACCTTTCTGAGAGGTTTCGAAAACAATTCTGCCTGGTACTATGGATGGATACAGTGGTTTCTTTTAAGGAAAAGTAAGCAGTCCTGGAATTTCTTTTAATGAAATGTGATTTTTTTTAAGTGTTTGGTAAATAAAAACCCAAAAAACAGAGCCCAAGAAGCTAGTGTTAGCATAGCCAGCATCTATTTTCTTGTGAAGAGCTAGTAGAGGTCACAGACTCCAGATACTTGCTCCCCGGTTTTGTGCTTCTTAGTACTAATAACTTCAATGAGTGGAACAAACTACATTGTTTTTTCCAAGACAGCTTTAATACTTGCAACTGAAAGATTATTACCTTGATGTAACTTAATGCTTTAACTTAAAAGCTGTCAGTTCAAGAAAGTTACCTTCTAAATCTGAAAGGGATTTTATCATTCAGGTCACATTTATAAACCTATGAGCATCCATAAAGCACATGCTAGGTTTTTAGTTTTTTGTCCTAAAGTACTGATTCCAGCATAAGCTAGGAAAAATGTCCTATGAAAATGTCAGCTCAAGACAATCAATTCGTGTTTTAACAAACCAAGTCTTAATGCTAATGACTGGCTGATGTGAGGACTTCCACTTAGTGGTTCTAGTTTCTCTTGTCATATAGGTATACGAGATGAGCCCTGAATCTCTGCAAAACAGGAAAAATTTCTGTGCTTCCATTATAATCCTGTGCATTGTCTCTGATCAGTGTGGA